GCCTTCCTCCCTTCACCGAACAAATACGACCCCTCTCTCTGGGGATCCCAAACGCACGACGTGTCCTGGGACTGACTGGCCGTTGCTGAGTGTTTATGGCAACCTACGCCATGTTTCTTGTTGTTATTCTTTGCTGGCCGTTTGTTCATCTTTAACATCGGTGCTAGGGCATTGTCCTTGGCAAGTTCCATGTGTCGTTTTAATGCTTTTCAGTGTTACGTGCATCCTGGTAGCTATTCCGCTTTTTACGTGAAGGTTTGAAGTGCTCAGGCACAAGTGCATGTGCATTGAGAATGCCTTTGTCATAGTTTCATTATCTATTTCTGTCAGAGTGGGTCAAGTTGTCAGTATTATGAGAATTGTGTTGCTGTATGATAGTTTTCTAGATAGAATTGGTTCTGCTGCGCTATCATTTCAGTCCAAGACTTGGCAGCGGTTTTTTAGAGAGACAATGCCGACATTATATGCGCCATGATCCCTCGTGATCATGGCAGTTGTTGCACTGTGATGCGAAGAGAGAAAGGGGGAGATGATGGCTGGTTGATGGTGTTTGTCCGTCCTCGAAAAAGCCGCGCCACTGTGTTGTACTTGCAGCTCATCGTTTGACACGTGTTAGTATAACGGTCGTCGAGCGAAGCGATGTGCTACATCGCACTCACGTGTGCTTCGCATGGACGTTCATCGGGCGTCTGGGTGGCGTTTCCCGGATGCTTTCTGTATCGGAATTCGTCGACGTGTCGTGTTGAGAAGCATTGAGTGGTTTGTTTCGACCACCTGTGCCGATAGTACGCGGTTTTCAAGAGTATTTAAACGTAGTACCCTGCAGAACTTCTCACCCTTAACAGTGCCCTGTACTAACTGTTTCAGCTCCTATGATTTCAATGGGTCTTGATTTTCATAGCTTGAATTCTAGAAAGTGCCGAATTTTTCCGTGCATATCTCGTGTATTCTTGATTGGCTCCGCCCAGTCAGTGTAATTGCTTGATTAGAGTTCGAGCTGGTCGAGGGCTAAGTGGGCAGGAAAGTATAGCCTCAACCCACATAGCCCCATTATAACCTCCCATTCACACACTTGAGGCTAACCTTGCAATGTTGAACTCCTCTCTTTTTCAGTTGTGATTCATTGATGCCTAGAAGCCATTCATTATCAAGATTTGTGATCGCTTACCATTTTCGTGACGTTTTAGTAGCACTACAGTTATGTTTATTGGGCAAGAACGGCATTACACCTTCTAGTACCCTACTGTTCAGAATTCAGACTAGATTTTGATCAAAATATATCACCGGGATAGATTTGACCGAGTTTTCACCCTGTGTTAGTTGGACCTCATAAAGTCGTATCGCTTGGCTTGAAACAGCATGGCGCCCGAGCATAGAAGTTGTCGCCAAAACGCTTCAAAGCATAGGATGTGCTAAAAGGTAACCCTAGAGGGGGTCTAACCTCCCGGTGTCATGCTAGCCGGTACGTGCGCTGCTGAGTGCCAGCTTCAAGTCTACGTTTGGTAGGGCGCAAAGCGTTTTCACTTCGAGTGATTGCGGTATTCGTCCTCAGGGGGGTATGATCAGTTACATTATTGCGTTGTGAATCCCTTCAAGGAGCACCATTTGACTCTGACAAAATTTCCACTAGCGCAGACCTTCCCGTTTCATGCGCGCCATACCTCCCCCCTCTTCTTTCGATTGATTGCAGAATTTTGGCAGATGGTCAAGCAGGCTGCATAGGGAGCTGGTACGATACTGATGATGTACCTGGGTGCAGTACCAGTAGAAACAGAACGAAGTTTTGGCTAAATCTACCGCTGGGGAAGAATTCCGGTCAATAAGAGGTCAATCTATCGTCAGTGAAAACTCGGTAAAAATTTGTTATGAATTCTAAAGGGTGGGGTAGTAAGAGGTGATGAACAGTGCAGAAAGACTGCCTTCTTTACACATCCGTGTTTGCTTGCGGTTTTTTCTTCGTAGATTGACCATCGTAGCTCAAAGGTATTATTTTCAGACACTGTCTTGGCTGTGCAGATGTGCCGCCGGCGCAGATACTCTTGAAAAATCTGATTCGTTTCTACTATTGGTGAGTACTGTAGTATATTGTTTAGACATTTCCTTTTCTCACTGCCACCCTGCCGCTATCATTGACTAAGCGCCATGAAGCGTCAACTACGGTTACCGACAGATAGCAGCCTATCAGCTTGCTTCATTAACTACTTGCGTCCTTTGTAATCAACTGATGATTTTTCAGCGGCTCAGTGGTTCACAGTAGTTTTGATGTCACAGTTCAGCGACGGGGGGCATTTTGCACCTTCACTGCTTCACTAGGGCCCAAGTCACATGTTCACTCTGGTGAAACCTGTGAACACTTGTAAGATAGACTAAGGTTGTCCAGCCATCATGGTAAAACCTGTCAGGCCTTGTGAGCTCATGAAATAGCTCTATAGGTGGTTCGATACGTCGATGGGAAGCAGCAAAGTGCAAAAGCCCCCCCCCCCCCCTCCTTTCGCCCCGAACTGCTACAGTTTTGATTAATTATTAGATACTAGGCGGAACATAGTCTATCTATAGAATCAGATACCTTGGCAATACATTTTATAGGGCTACTTTCTTCCAGGATTCTTCAAAGTTGGTTCTGAAGGATGTCGTTCATCAAGACAATATTTCCCGCTACAAAACGGCGAAAGACGGACTCGAATATGTTCGTACAGCCGCAACCTCCTGGCGAACGAAATGGACAACAACCAAGAGCAGCAGCAGGAGGAGTGGGACCACCGACCCCTCGAGACTCAGTCACTTCCGTTGTGACAAAAAGTCCCGTATTCGAGTCATTTTGGTGAGTTAAACATTTCCTCCCTCTTGCTTTCTCCTACAGCATACCTTGTCTTTCCAGTACCACTCGTGAACGGGAGCTTCGTCCTGACATGCTTCGAATGGTACTTATCGAAGCTGAACAACGTGTCCTATTCGATACAGCTTCCGTAGTACCAATTGGTTGTAGAATTCTTCCACCAAATGCTCAACTTTCAGCTTGTAAAAAATTTCAGGTTAGTTGGGTAGAAATGTTTTAAAACTAATAGTTATAAATTTTTTTCGCTGATTAACCGTAGCCGAGCGATAAGATGGGGCAGCCGGTTATGGCGGCTAGGTGAATAGGGAGAAAATGCTGTTGAGGTTCAGAGTGCAGCATCACTGTACGAAACCATTCAGGGGTCATATTTGGTCGATGAGGTAGGGAGGGATCGTTCGGCAAGGGGTGGCTAGGTGGCTAGCGAAATGGGGCCGCACTGAGTCAGGGATGTTGAGTGCGGTCGCACTGACACCCACCACCCCTGACGTTACTTTCCCTCCTGGGATTTTCATACGCAAAAATCCTTTTATAATCGAGATACCTACAAGTGCAACGTATGGGAAGAAGTGGGCGTTCGTTGCGCATGCTGGCTGAATATACAGGAGCCTGAACGGTGCTCAGTACAAGGTCCTTTATTTTTTCGCTGTGCCCACACGTTGTGTCCACGTCACGACCGATGTGGTAACTCAGCCGTAGTCGGAGCTTTTTTCGAGACACCCAGTGTAAACTCCATAGTACAGTAATTTGCTCGCAATGTTGCGTTTTCCGTTTTTGCATTCTTTGAGTCTGCCTCTTCAGATCTCTTTGTGTAAATAGCAAACTATCCGTTTGCAGAATGCAATTTTGTTTGAGGTGAAGACAGAATCATTAGTGAATTCCATTAGGGGAGCGGGCTGTAGTTCGGGAAAGGTTCGATACTTTCATAAGGAAGGCTGAAGGTGGGATATATGCAGATGACAGTAAGAGTGGGTCGTGCCTGTGGGCCAAGTAGCGCAGGGAGATGGTCAGGACAATTGTAGTTGCCGCTCCGTCGCGCCCGACCATGGGTGCGACAATTTCTTGATTTGGTTTTGGCTGCGGGTTGAGCACTGCATTCCATGTGGATCACGACATCATAGACATGGCTATTTCTGGTTATACATTGTCTATTGTCGCCATGTGAGACGCAGAAACATCGTCACTTGCGATGCCGAGGTCGCACGCGACCCCACTAGCGCGGCGATTTAATGGTTGTCTTGTCCCATGTCGAGTAGCGCACGACGGTAATAGGGAAACCGGTGATGTTTTACGAACTCGAGAGGTTTTCTTTGACGAGAACCCTTCTTTTTCAGTAGACTTGAGCTAGTTCGGCAGCTTGTGGATGCTTTGTACTGGTTCTCTGACAAAGGTGCCCATTGCTGGCCGTCATTAGGTCGCTTTCGCGTTGTCAGTTTTTTCCTACATACTCCCAATTAAGAGTGACTCATGCTATATGAAGAACACTCACTTCTGAACATTGTAGAGATCTGAGGTGTGTAGGCTTCCAGATCCAGATCTGGCAATAACGAGTTTTAACCCCCCCCCCCCCTAGATGAGATTAGTCATTTGGGCTGAGGAATTGATTACGGGATTGAGTAAGCAATTTTTAATGAACTCTCTTTTCAGCTTCTCAAACGTCGCCGTGATATATCGACGATATCACAAATGCTTTTTGGCGCTATGCCAACGGCGATGGGCAGCGATTCGTTCAAGATTCATACCATAACGTGGGTGATGATTATTCCAAATTTGTCGATGCCTACTGAAAATTTCCGAATTTTTTAGTGAAGATCAACGATTGCTTATTAGCCGCGTGTTTGCTATCCCACGAATTAGCTCAAGGTTCGTTTCAACTTTTGTTTGGTTTCTTATGGTTGTATTCTGTCGACAGAATTTCTTATAAGATGTCTAGATGGTTTTAGAGGGTGCTATACGTCTCGAGGGCGGGGTCATTCTGCATTTTCACTATTAACTTTGCTACACCACAATAACTAGCAAGTCCCATTTTGGTGGAAGTGAACTCTTGTAAAGCTGCGCGATGGTGCATGTTAATCGCTTTGGTTACAAAGTTTCACAGGACATCTGAGGAGGGGGAGGGGTCGTAGACCTGGCCTGCGCCCCACCAAACCGGACTGCACCAGTTATTACTTCAGCGGCAGATCACATTCTTAAACAAATTTAGAGAGATGCGGGCAAATGCCGAGTCACTGGAATCGTCGGACTCGGAATCCCAGTCTCAATACATTACGATTCGTTCGATGGACAGTATGAACGGTATAAATCACAGTAAACCCGGATGTATCTCGTCCACTGCACCACCGGAAGCATTCAAACGCGTAAGTGGATAGCTCAATGTACAACTTGGGCCCTATAACCCAACACCTTGCAGGTACGTAATACCAGCCTGCATTTGGACGATGATGCGGACGAGATTCGTCCGTTTTCTCCACCAACTGCAGCGAGATTGTCTCGTGACCGCCGTCTGCAGATGTCACACAAGACGAGTTTGTGTGAGCAATGTATGTTTTTTGTTCTTCGGCATCGAGCCAAAGGGTATTTGTCTGAGACTTAGTGTTCTTTGCGCTTTTCCTCGGAATATGTACGTGACAAAATGGAAAATTGGAAAGGTCATGTTGAAATCTAGTTGTTGTCGGATGCTTGTAACAGTGATAAATTAGGTGGGAAGGAATCGCGATTCTTAAGCAGGTGTCACATTTTGAGCACGGGTTCTAGCAAACATACCATACCTGGGAGGGTAGCTTCATGGGGACATTTAAGGACTTCCTTGATCGCTAGGGACCTCCTGGTTTCCTAAACCGCAAGGGACTTTCTGGATTCCTAGGTTCTCAGAGCACTTGTCAGCCGCGGAGCCCCTATTCTTTCCTTTGTTTCTTCCTCTTCATTCCTTTCCTTCCTTCTCTGATCCCTCCTTCTTTACCTTCTCCCCATCACTACTGGGCTAGAAGATGCCACGAAAGAATATCTCTGAACCCTGGCAGTGAGAGCACATCTGGTTGACAACTAAACCCAAGGAGGAAAGAGCCTTGGAGTGGGTGAGCTTGTCTTCTGCAAAAAGGGTTTGTTCATTGAGATGGTTCCAATGCTGCAGAGGGACCTTGAGTATCTCCATCCCTAGCAATCCAGGATGCCCCCTCCACGTTGAGAGTAATAACTCGTTGTATGATTTTGCCTCTTTTTATTACGATTTGAGCTTGATCTTGGTGAAATTATCCGGGTTTTATGCGTTAGGGCGCATTCATACTTCGCCCTTCAGTCGCGTGATTTGCGAATGTTCGTTGAATTGCGAATCGAATTTGCGAATCGTTCTGGCCGACTTGCCCTCAGAAACTCAGCCCGACTGCTTTGAAAGTCGAAATGGAATGAATTGGCAGCTGGGAAGGATCAAACGATTAGAGGTGGAGCGATCTGTCGCAGTCGCGTGACTGATTCGTCCGAAGTATGAATGCGCCCTTAAGGTTGTAGATTTCAGTAAAGGGACTATTGACGTCTGTGATCGAACATGACAAATATTAAAGGCTTTTTAGTTTTAAAATCAATCAATGTTTGCAGCCAGCTTTTACTTTCCTTTTTGCTCGTTTTACTTCGGCTTTACGGAATTTATTTTTTTTACAATCCATGAGTTGGTATTGCTTGCTCGACACTGGGTCATGATGTTTATGTAAGCTCTTCTCAGAGAAATGAGGAGGAAAGAATGAGAAACACTAAAGAAAGAGCTTCTTCTTTCTCTTGAGCTATCGAGCTGCGTACTTCCGGCCATCGTTTATTCCCGAGATTTATGAGTACTTTTATTCATTCGGAAGTTGTGTTACAGCTCAGAGCTGCTGTTACACCTACGGTGTTCATTGACAAAACATATGAGGTTTCGAGATATCTTCAACACCCACTCTAATACTTCTTTGTTTCAAGGGTTCGAGGGAAGTGCTAGTTAAGGGAAGGGTATTGTCTGAGGTTTCGGGTTTTCTTTAGGGTTCTGGCGGCTTACATGATAATTTAAAGAATTAGGGAAGTGGTATTGTGGTTGTTTTCCTTCGGGTGCAGGTGCAATGGTCTTGCGGCGCAAGCGTTTTTCCAATCGCAGCAACAACTGCATTTCGTCGCCATCGCTGTAGTCGCCATCGTTGTTTTGATGTGGCGATCCCGAGCAGGTACTAGGCCACAATGCCTGCCACTGCAGTGCTGATAAGCGTGCCGATTGGAAGCATCATGGCGCCTTTCCGGGATAGGCTTATGATAAATGTGTGATAAGAGACGTGTTGAGAAGTGTCCATCATGAGTTTTTATTGGCGTTTTACTGACAGTATCAGACAGCCGGTGTGTGTGTTTCCCAAAACAGAAATCATTGAAATGACAACGAGATGGAGTGTTTAGGAGAATTCGATGGTGTTAGAGTGCTTCCAGGGGAGATTCCGGGACCAGGCCAATTCCTACAAACTTGCTTGGGAGTGTGAAACATCGACATTTACATCGATTGAAGACGATGAAGAACTCGGCGCTGGTTGGCTCTCTTGCGATGCGCCTGAATTCCACACTCATTCGAGATCGTTCTCATATTTTGAACGCACTTTTCCCAAGTCGTTGTGCAGGCCAAAGTGCGTTCAGAATATGGCAACGGTTCTGAATAAGAGTGGATTGCGTGGCGCATCCCAAAAAAGCTAAGCACCGTTGAGTCCTTCCGTGTTTTTGTTCATCAATATGTGGACTGTTCTCAATGGGCATTGAAAAGTACAAGGCGTAAGGTTTGATGCTTCATCATTGATTGGCTGGCCGTTTGAGATGCCCAGCGGGATTTTGTTAGATTAATTTTCACACTTCAAAAATCATGGCATTGATTGCTGCGTGGCGTTGATATTGGCAACAGTGCGCACAAGTCCGGGTTTTTGATATTCCATTGTGTTTCATATTAATCGCACTTTCTTTCTTATCGTGTGCCACAGCTTCGTCTACTTTGACACTGGGGATACGAAAGCTATTGAGTTGAATGTTAATTCAAATTATAAGCTTCATTGCAGGCGCTACCAGTCATCATGAAGCTTCTACTTGTGATGGAAGCTTGTAGGTCTGTTTGAAGGGGTTTTCTCCTAAACGAGTGGGTTACAGGGGAAATGTGGTCGATTACTGGGGAAAAGTGCATGGATTTGGAGAACCGAATGAGCTTCAAATAGAACAGCTGTATTCCACGTGATGCGGTGATTTTGCCTGTAGTGCATGGAGGGAGAGCTGAGTCAACGCGATAATTTGAAAACAGGGCAGGACAACCGTCTCTGAATAATCTGGATCCTTGTTTGAGCTCCTGGTTCTGAGTTCATTTAAAGGCACAGTTCGCGACCGCAAATTGCGGGAAACGGAACTCAAATAGGCACAAAAAAGTGCTAAGTATCTGATTAGCGGAGAAAAGCAGCAGAAAAAGCAGTCCGAAATGTTATAGAGAAAGATAACATAGTGGCTACTAGCTAGTAGCTAGCAGCCGGTGAGGGTCGGCATGGGCCTAAGGGGTGTCCATGGGCCTAATTAGTCAGCTTCTAGCGGAGTTCTTGCCGTTTTTCACATTTTGAAAGTAGCGCAGCCTCAAAAATCGCCTTCCGGATCGTCCGACACATTTGAGAGGTCATAGCCTTATTTTATCGCGGAATGTGCCTTTAACTACCACGTATTATTTTGGCGTAACGGGAAAACTCGAATAGCTGTGCGAAATAGTACGAATGACCCGCTTTGATAATAGATTCTTACCGATCCTGACAAGACGGGCTGCACAGGCTTCACTATGGTAGGGGTACCATATGGTGCTCCTACCAAGCGGAACTGCACCCCGTTTTTTCCCTCTTCCCCATCCTCAAACAGTTTCCCCTCGAGAATGGAAAGCCCTGGAGAAGGGGTGGAATGAATATCAAAGACCGATTTTCCTACCCTGCATGCCCTGAGAGAACTTTTTTCTGGTATGATGTGATGTGTGTGGGAGGTGGCTGGCTCTTCTGTAATGTTTGCCAATATTCACGAGGATTAGTGTCGGATCACATGGCAGCAATGGATGTGTGTATTAGCACAGCGCTTCTCCCCACAATTTGGCCATTGTGTCTTTAGGTCGTGAGCTTCACATGGGGACAACGTGGCAGACGGTGCTGTGGGGGTGTTCAAATTAGTCAGTGCTGGGGTAATGTTGTTCGAAAGAGAGCAAAACAAGTACATCATGGAAATTTGATCGTTTAGCCAGATGTTTTCTAGTATAGAGTGGTGCTCATCCAGTGGAACAGTGGGGTCATGAATCTCCCCATTTTGAACTATCGGAAACGTTTAAACGAAAGGTGATTGGGCTGGTAACGGGAAGGGAG